TCTTTCTATCAGATATTAGCTATTAAACCACACTGCTTTTGCAATGCAGAGACATTATTGCAGATGAGTGACCAGGCCTAAGTATTCCAAATGTCTGGCTAGTTAGAAATGAAAATGGTTCCCACTAGGAGACATGAAAGCATGAGCGAGTTAAGTCTGAGTGCAGAGAGGAGAGATCACTGAAGGTGATCTGCACCATCTTGGTCCATCTAACACAGAGGTGGATCTTTTTTCCCTCTTGCAGATCTCTCCCTTTGGGAATGAGCAATACTTCCCATTTCCACACACTTGTGCTCCGCTAAGTTTTGAGTGGAGTTGTTCACTTGACTGTAAGCAAGATGTCAGCGGCCTATTTTTTTGGAAGACACATGCTGATCCAAGGGAAAACAAAACAAAACAACAGAGGGCAAATCTTTCCCTTTCCCTCAACTTGTGCAATTAGGGAGGTTTTTATTCTGAGCCTTGGTAATGGGGGACCATCTGTATTGGCTCCAGCAGGTCCCATTCCCCAGCTCCTGTGCTTAATTGCACTTCCATTGGCAACTTAAGCAGTTGCTGCATGTGTTTCAAATGAACTCTCCACTTCAGGCTGGTCTTACTGATCACCTTCGTGTGATTGGCAATTAAAGCCCTTTTCAGACAAGGGAGAATTATTGCCTGTTTTTCAGCTTCACTCCCTCCTTCAGCTTGCTCTGCCTTTTGCTTTTCCTAATATTCCCTCAGTTCCTTATCTATTGCAAAAGCATCACATGGAGCCATTTGTCTCTTCCTTTGATGAGAACCATGCCTTTTGGGAGACCATCTGGGTTTTTCCCAGCAGAGCAGGATGGTCGCCAGTGCTGCAGCAGATTTGCCCAGTTTTTAGGTGCTTGTGGGGAATAAAGGAGGAGGCAAACAAAACAAAATAAGAGATTGAGAGCAAAGGAGGATGAACTTAGCCCAGTGTTAAATCCATCCCTGAAGCTGTGGTGCAAACAGGAAATGATCTCTTAACACTGTGCACCTGCATCCCGGGAAGAGCATCCAAAAGGGGCCCAAGCCCACAGCAGGGTCTGGAGGAATGGGGCTCACAAGCCCAACTGCAGGGATTTTTAAGACTCCTTGGCCAGCTTCAGTCCTTGCTCAGCTTCTGGTTCCTGCCTCCTTGTGCCTTTGCCAGATGCACTCTCCTTTCCCTTATCCTACAGTAAATTAATCCAGTGCTGTTGAAAAGTATTGAGGTGACAGCTCTGGAAGCTGGGGCCCAGTGAAATGCTGGGATGCTGACAGCATCTTAGTGCCCTGCACAAAACACCATGGGTTTAATGTCCAGTGCATGGCTGGTATTTGGAAATAATGATGCTGCTGATGGGCTTCTAGCAATCCAACCTGGGCTGGAACCACCAAACCTGGGATCTTGCAGCTCTCCAGCTACCCCATGCCAGAGCTCATCAGAAGGATTTAAATGTGTACACACAGATGAAAAAGTGCTTATGTGGAGCCTGGGATGGCTGCTCCCAGCCCTGGTGTGGAGCCTCCCTGGCTTAATCCCACACAGCAACAGGGCATCAGTGGCTGAGACAGGAGCATCAGCAGGACCAAAACCAGAGCAGGAGGGAAGTACCCTGCCCAGCCAGGAAGCCGGTTGGGGTGCTGGGAGGTGGGGTGGGTGTCAGTGTCTGTGCTCTCAGTAAAACCCAGCTGAGTCTGACAGCGTGTCTGGCCAAAGTGCCACCTGAAGCACAGGTCCTACCAGGTCTGCTGGCTCTTCCCTTCTGTTCAGGAGTGACACAGATCACAGCATCCCTGAAGACCCAACACTGAGGATGTCTGTGATTTCAGAGGAAGGGCTGATGTCATTTTGGAACAAGTAAAATCACACCAGAAAGAAGGTGATTCCCAGCAATGCAGACCCACCGTGTCTGAGGCAAACAAACCCCCTTCTAATCACAACTTAACAAGGGAATTTGCCTTTTCTTTGCAAGAGAGGCAAGTGCCTGTGTGAAGCAGTGCCTGACCTGTGGAGCATGCCTGGCTCCCAGTTCACCAGGCATTCAAAGGATGCAACCACTTGCAAACAAGTTTTCTGCCCTGGCTCAGTGCTGTAAGTACAAGCTCAGGTCAGCCTTCCCAAATCCGTTGTGCTCCCCTCCCCACCCTACAGATGAGAAGGAAGAAAGGGGTCAGAATGCCTTTGGCAGCAGAGACCTAAAGCTTGGAAAAGCCTGAAAGAAATTGCCTGCAGCTGCTGTTGTAGCAGGCTAAAACCCAATCCATGACAGTACTTTTTGGATTCCAGTGGGATGGGAGAGGTGTTTCCTCGAGGCTCACTTCCCCCTGCCCCACAGGGGGTTATAACAAAGTGATTGTGGGATTTAAATCCATGATGGTGGGATTAGGCGTTTCTCAATTGAGACAGTTCCACATTCTTTCCCCCTGATTTGCCACTTGGTGCTCTCCGCTGACCAGAAACGGGCTTGCTCAGCTCCCATTTACACCGCTGGAAGAGTTTACAGCACAGCCTCAGCCCAGCATCCCTTCCTAGTGTATGTGCCTTGATTTAATGCTTTGATTTGAAAGTTATTTTTTATAATAAGAGAAAGATGGTCCATGCCAAAAAAAGCAGTTTCATAAAATGCTGAACATGACTTGCATTCTGTAATTGCAAACCTGAGAGACTTGGAGTAATTGACATCTTGGATGTATTGCAGAATATCATATTTAATCTTGAAGAGCAGGTTCCAGGCAAAGGAGGCAACTGCCAAGCCAAACTCAGACTCCTCACCGGGTTCCTACCATAACTCATTTTCAGATCCATTCAGCACAGTTCTGAACCTAAATGTTTACATTTTTGATTTACTAAGATAACATTCCTGGGTCACTGAAACTGTTTGTCAGGGAAGGACTCAGGGAGACAGCAGGAATTAGTGATGCTGGCTCAAGCCTGGGGAACACGTGAGGGGTGCTCACACTTCAGAGAATTATGTCAGTCTCCTGTGATCTGGGGGATGGCAGCGAGGTCTTGCACACACACCCCCTATGTTCTGGTGGCTGTTTGGATGATGCAGGAGCGTGTACCCTGTTCATAGAGGTGATCCTTGAGCTAGATGTGGATGCCTGAGGTGCAATGGCATAGAGAGCTCTGCTCCGGGCCCTGTGCAATGGGCTCCTTGCTGCCAGGATCCCCATTCACGAGTGTGTGAAATGGCATGAATGTGGGACCGGACACAAGCTGTATTTCACAGAGTGTGACTCAGTGCATGTGTATTTTTGTCAGTGCATGACTTCAGTGCGCGTGTAATTCTATAAACGTGTGGGATGTGACTGATGCTCGGCGAGTGAGCCTAAAGCGGGAGCTGCGTTTCAGAAGCCAAACTTCCAAGCTAACCCACGGGTTCTACTTTTCCTTTGTCTACAAGTGCGGCTTCTGTAAAGTATCTGTCCCACATTATCGTGGTTTACAGCCTGGCTATAAACATTTGCTTCTGTTTGAAATACAACAAATATAAGCGGAAATCTGCTCTCTGCTTTATGCATCCTGGTAAAGGATACCAGTTGAAGTCTTTAAAAGGGCCAGCCCTCTTCTTGCAAATAGAGTGTTTACATTGCTACAGATTTCAGTGGAATGGATACTAATTTACAATGGTGCAAATGAAAAGAAAGCAGAAAACCCAGGAATGTAAGCAGGAATTATACACCCCTGACCGTGGAAATGAAGACACAGCCCCGGCACCACAGCTCTCAAAAGCATCGGCTGAGCCACATTTATATTGGGCCAAATTCTGACTCGGTGACTCATGCTGGAGAGGGCCAGACATTTGAACTGCCTTCTTCAAGGTCTCCTTGCAGGGCTCCTGGGAACATAAGTTATTTCTCGTGAACAGCAATGGGGCCAGGCTTGTTTGTTAGATTTGTTATAGCTGCTTCCAGGATCCAACCGGGATTAGGATGGTGTTGAATTTGGTGCCAAATGCACATGATGGAAATACTGCCCTTTAGCTATGAGGGTATGAGGGGGGAAGGCGCTTCCCTTCCCCTCTTCTAGGGTGGGTTTTCCAGCAGGGCTGCCAGCCCAGTTTGGGGATGATTTGAGGGTCAAGGCTGGCATCGATTGCGAAGAGGTTATTATTTGCCCAGCTGCACATCTTTATTCATAACGTGCCCGTTGTTCTTAACATTTTGCATATTTCATTGTGAGAAGTGGGATGGGGAGGGGGAAGCAATCGCCATGTCTAGGGGAGTTGGGCTTTTATTTCGGTGGCGGCGGGCTGCAGCGGGAGCCTGTGACTGTCAGGATGTTCACATCTGTTCCTGATTTGTGGACAATGGAGCACCATCCACTCACTGCACATAGACGATCTGTGACAACTTGACAGCCTGCCCAGGAATTCAGACCGAACACTTACTATCCAAAATGATCAACGTTGTCTGATCCAACAGTAAAAGCAGCACAGGGGGGGAGGAAGAATAATTTCAAAGGGAGGGGAATAAAAGTTGCCTCTATTTTTGGCATTTCTGATGAGTGGCATTGGAGCCTCCCTTCATCTGGTGAGATGGGGTGCAGCAGGAGCTGGTCTCAGATGTTCCCCTGCCCTCCGATCCTGGCTAGTTTCTAAACAGAGCAGCTGCAGTGCTGTGGGCAGCTCTGCTGAGCCCTGCTTGCATACTGCCTGTGCCTGGGGAGGCAGTCAGGGGCTCTCTGGGCTTGGGGCTCTGCTTGGGCACCCTCAGGTCCTGCCATGGCAGCAGATGTGGGCAGGAGGGGCTTCTGCCTCCTCAGCTTATTGTAGAAGAAAGTATCTGCTCCTGCTCTCAATGGTCCTGCAGGATGAAGCTCTCCGTCTATCCCAGATCCCGATCATACAGCAGTGTGGCATGCTCTGTCCATGCATCAAGGGAAGGGCGACAGGCTCTGGAGGTGGCTCTGTGGCTCCCTGACCCCTCCTTTGGTGTGGGATATCTGCACCAGAGCTTATCCTCTCCCCTCACTCACCACCCTGCTGCTGCTTCTTGCCAGGACCATACCCACCTGGAGAAGGGGAATGCCTGGATGATAGTAGGGCAGAGAAGATGATCCCTTGCCTTCACGAAGGTGCTCTGGGGTTGCCCTCCCGCTCCACAGCATGTGTGCTGCTTCGCTTCACCTCCCTTCCTGCAGCAAATGGGTGTAAGTAGGTCTGAGCAAGCCTGACAAAATGCAAGGGACCTAAATTACATTACCTTGCACACCAGCTCTGCATCTGACCTTGGGGATTAATTAGATAAACAACCATCTTGTACAGTACCTTATATAAATGTACAAGCAAGGCACCATTAAGGATTACGTTGTCACTAACCTAAGCCCTTAGTGATTTAATTAGACAATTAGAGGCTGCTTGGGAATGCTCTTGTAGTAACCAGAGATATTAACACCATTTGTATTTATATTTAATAGCATTGCAAAAGGGATTTTAATTATTTTGAGTCTTACTGGTCTTTAAACTTCCAAAGAGGAAATTCTCTTCTGATTTTAGCAGAGCTTCGCAGGTGCTGTCGCAAGCATCACTTCACCAGGTCCCAGGCCCAAACCCCCTTTCCATGGTAACTCCATGGCAAGCAGTTTGTTTGCTGAGATGGCATGGAGCATGCTGATCCCTTGGGTAACTGCTGGAGGAGCAGGAACCAGACCTGGGTTTGCTGGCACCGTAGCAGCCGTAAGTAACAAAGCCTGTCCCTCACAGTAATGACTGTGCAGACAGAAAGGTTTGTGTGATGGTGGTTAGGATGGTAAAATCAATGGTCAGTTCAGTAACTGTATGTGGGAGAGTGACTGGTGTGTTCTCTGGTCCTCACCACACTGTAAAGGAGCAGGATGTTTATTGGCATGGGAAGCAAGATGGGTAAAACAAACCCCGGCCTCGCGTGAGTCCTCTGCAGCATCCAAATCACCAGTGGCTCTGCAGCAGCTTAGTAATATCAAATAAAACCTGGCGACTAGGGAGAGCCTTCAGCTAGCATCAGCTGCAACCTAATTTAGGATATGAACTGGAATCCCTGCAGGAGGAAAGTCTTTGTCTCAGCACAGGGTAGCACTCAGCCCCTGCTTCATCAATACCAGCCAAGCGCCCTTTCTTCCTGCCTTCCTAAAGATGCCATTCTTGCAATATCACTGCCAATAATTGTATTTTCACTGTATTACAGCTCCAGTAATATAATTAAGCCTAAATAATATAGATGAAGTGGAGAATAATTTGATTTGCTAACTAATGTTTGAGTCAAGTAGATTATTTTTTTCCTGTTTTCCTGAATCTACAGTTGACTAAACCCACAACCATTCCTCCACTCCCGTCCTTTAGTGAAATGTGGATACAGAAGAATGATTCATCAGAGCGGATGGATCCAGGCGTTGGGAAAACGAGAGGATGTTTGGTTTGGTTTGTGTGGAAGGGGTGGGATCCTCTTGGGAACTCTGTATGAAACAGTGAATGGGATGTCCTTGGATAATCAAAGACAATGAGGAAAAGTGGGGTCAATGATCCATTCAACAAAAGCATAAGGCAAATGATACATTGAGCAGCTCCAGAAAGTGGTAATTTGACAACAGTCTGCTGCAGAGAGCCATCTGGCCTGAGGAGAAAGCGGGAGCACCAGTCTGTGCAGTGGGTACCTCAGGGACAGGAGCTGAGCTCTGGGGGCTTCCAGCATGCATGGCTTGGCCTCTACAGAGCCTCGCTCTATGTATACACACATAGTGAGGCATCGGAATGAAAGGAGTGAGAGGCATTGCTGACCTCTAAATGTAGGAAAAAATCTTCTATGGAGCCTAAAGAGTAGTTGTGTTCACGTGTGACTCGTTTTCCAGGAGCTGATTAACTGGATATGGGCTTGGTGAGTTGATGTAGAGGAATATTGCACATAGTTATTCAGGGTCAGGGCTTTGGCATGTTGTGTTACTCTTTTCCATTTGCAAGAGGCAAAAATATGAGAGTGGAGCTCAAAAAACCTGTGTAAATAAGAAATAAGAAAGGAAAAATAAAACTGCAGGGAACGGTTTCCTCCCATGTGCTTTGCTCTGCCTTTTTTAGGCAAATCTGCTGCTCACCCTCACAACCTCCAAGCTCTCCCTAAGCTTGAGCATCTCAGCAAGCCAGGAACCAGTTCATGCTCAGGCTACCACCTGGGGATGATCCGATTTCCATGGCACGGAGGATTCCTTTGTAAAATCAATCCGCAGCAGTGGCCAGGCTGTGCCAACTTGTAGCAGGGCTCTGGAGAGGATGCAGTGAAAATATTTTGCAAATCCTTTTTATTCCTTGTTTACCAAAAGAGGTTAAGGCTTGGTTTTGAAGGAAACCAACAGTTTATGGTCTTGGGAGGATGCATGAGATTCAGAGCCCTGCCTACTCTGAGCAATGACTGCCATTTAGTTGGAAGGGCTAATACTGGTCAGGCCAGGACCTCCTGCACAGATGAGCCTCCAGCAGCAGCAAGCAGAGGCAGGGAGGGAGCTAAAGCAGGAATCAGCAGTTAGGTGATGGTAGGATGCTTTATTCAAAATAGATGTGCTCTCCAGGCTACCAGACAAGGAAGGAAATTGGAAAAATAGTCTCTTACATGTGGGTTTTGGGCCTTGTTGCAAGGAGTCAGGGTAGGTTTAACTGTCCTGTTGGAAAAGGGCCATGAGAACAGTCTCTTGCAGGGTGCCTGAGGTTTCCTCACCAGGGGGCCTGGCTGGAGCTGGCAGTGTGGGCAGGGAGGAAGGAGCAGGGAGACACAGGCATGTTTTCCAGTGCTCCCAGTGCCCCTGCATGGGCTGGTGTGCAGCCAGGTGGGGCTCCCTCCACCAGACCTGCTTTCCCATGTCCTGCTGCCGTCCAGACCTCAACTTTGCTTTGGGGTTGCAAGAGCAGCTGCAGCCCCTCTGCTTGAGAGGGCACAGGCACTCCTGAAGCCTCTGATAGACCTGGCTGCTCTGGCTCTGTCAACAGCCTCAGTGTGCTGGCCCATGGCCCTTTGCCATGGTGGTGGTGTCTCCAAGCCCAGCAGTGAGGAAAGCTCAGGCTCTGTCCAGGCACAGCTCAGGGGTGAGCGTGTTCCCAAAGGAGATGAATGCAGCCACCTTGCTCAGGAGGACAAGAAAGCTCAGCTCTGCATGGATGGGCTGAGGTGTAGAGGGAGCCTCAGGGCAAAGGAAAGGCTCTAGCCCACTTGGTTTACTAATGCCGATGAATGTGAAAAGGTGGTGATGTCCAGATTAACATCTGCTTGGGAGTCAAATTGGAGCTGGGGGATCTTCTGTCACTTATTCTAGGCTAAAAAATATTGTGTATTCCCCCTCATCCTACCATAACTGTGAAAAGCCCCTAGCAGCATGGGGAGGGAATTAATCAAACTAAAGGTGGAATGGAGGTTTTATAGCAGCATGCTCATTTCTGCCTGAGGTGGAGAGCTCTTGCACTGCCTCCAGGAGAGTCCTGGCCATTGCAATGAAGACAGGGAGGGTCCAGCACAGGTGATGGATAGTAAAGAGAACAAGAAGGAAGGAGGAAAGGCTTGCTTGGTGAAGTGAACAGTTCATTTATTCAGCAGATGGTGCCAAGGCACAGAACTCTTGTTTTGCGCTTGGCATTGGTAGAGAGTGCTGGGAACGTGAGCTACTGCTGAGCAAACCCCACTGCTGACCATGATGGAGCACTCCAAGTGATCGCACACACGTGCTCGGGGTGCATTGGGTAAGGGTGCTGGCAGCCAGAGCTCCCATTTGAGCAAACCCTGGTTCTGCTGAACACACTCCAGTGATTCTGTGTTTGAGGCTGTTACATGGGAGCTTGGAGAACGCGATCTCATTACAAACATTGACCTAGATGGTTGCACTGGGACTGCAGCTCTGCAGCATGGAGGCAGAAACTGCCTGCTTATATTTACACGTTCACTGATACCAATTCCTTCTCTTCCCCTTCTGCTCTTTTCTTCCCAGCAGTTGTTCTTGGTGTTTTGTACCTGGCTGGTGGCCTGAGGCCTCAGCTGTCCACCACAGTTCTCACCTGCACAGCCCAGTGTCCTGTGCAGCAGTGCCAGGCTTGGAAGGTATCCAAAGGAGCAGAGCCCTGCAGCTGGGGACCATGCACTTGGGGGGCAGCTCTGCCAGCTGGGGACACTGGGAAACCTCACCAGATAAATATCACCGTTGTCCTGCATCCATCCTTGGGGTAAGCAGTGGGGGATGTCAAACAACGTGGTGCAGCGAGAGGCTGTCCATGGTTCAGCAATGCAATGGCCAAAGGAGAGAGGGTCCTCTCCCATGTGCAGGAGGTGTGGGTCATGCAACAGCCAAACGCCTGAATGATTCCCCAGCCCTGGTAGCTCTTGTGTGGTGGCTCCAAGGTAGGCTGGTGGGGGGAGCGTGGTGCTTTCTCCATGCTGCACCCCAAGCAAAGTGGCTGGATATACCAGCAAGATTTGTCTTCCCCTGAAGCATTGTCCCCCAGCCAGAAACAAACCATTCCCTCCATGGCAGCCTCTGTCCCTTCCATCTTTCTCTTGGCAGCTAAGTTGTTAATAAGCTTCCTTTTGCTATGATTCCATCTAAATTACTATTTTAAAACAACTACAGATGTGCTAAATTGGCTCAGTATAATAGGATGAGATGGATAATAAAGGTTCCCCTAGTGGGCTGTCGCCAGCACAGGTAATTTATTACCTGGGTGGCTAATTATACGCTTCTCAGCTTTCTAGGGTGAAAACATCTTGATATTTCCTAGTTAAGGAGCCCTGACACAACTGAAATGACCAGACATGTGAATAGGAAACATGGTGATTAAGTACCTGAGAGATGAAGAATGCAAAGGAAAAGGCATTCTGCAGCCAGAAAAAATGAACTGTGTGATTTCCCCCAGCACCTTGAGGGAGCAGGGAAGGGCTGGACCTCTCCTAACTCCGGCCAATTCAGGCATTTTGTGCATGAAAACAGCAGCCAGCTGAATTCCAAGCTGGGAAAAACCCCAACCAACTCCTGTAAATGAGAGAGGAGAGATTGTTTCATGAGTTCTGCATATGCGCTCATGAGTTTTGGGGGCTGGGGCTGATGGGAAGGAGAAAGCCCTGTCGTTCTCCCTACTGCTCAGTGCTGGCCATCCCCATCTCACTGTGCAGTCCCCAGCCCTGCAGATGGGTGTTGCTCCACTCTGGTCCACATCAAAAAGTGTAGGTAAGAAACATATATCCATTATACTCTCATTCATTATTTACTTGATAAAACACAATGTTTGCTTAGTTAATGCGTTCGAGACAAGGTATCTTATAAAATACACAGTCTGTCGAACACAGCAAAATGGGCCAGTTTTCACAGTACTTAAAATCTATGGCGTGAGGCAAATCCCATCAAGAAGACAGATGCCTCACTGAACTGCTAGTGTCAGCCTGCGGGCTCCAGCCACATCAGAGGAGCCAGGCAGTCCTGCGTTCCTTGTGGCGGATTTGCACCAGAAAGGCAACATAAAACCTTGGCAAAGAGTTTCTTTTCCCTGGACAAGATGGGATGCTCGGCTCGGGCAGGGGCAGGGCATGGTTGGGCTGTGGTGCCTGCTGGGTGGCCCATCCCTTGCACTGGCTTTGAGGGGTGCCTGCGGTGCAGCTTGTGGTGGTCTGACCCGGTCCCACGGCTGGCAGGAGGGGCTGAGGTCTGCCTGTCCTGGGCTTCAGGCTTCCTGAGGCCGTATAATGATCTCACCTGAAATAAAATGAAGGCTTGAAGACCTCTGGGTGCTGTTTTAGCATCCAAATCTTCTCCATCCAGCAACAAGGATGTACCTGCTTCTACTTGAGTCATTTCCCACCCTGTCTACCAGTGCCCTGGAAGACACTCCTGCTCACTAAAGGGAACTGCCATGGGTCAGCACAGCCCCCATGGGACAAGTACAGCATAGGGGAAACTGAGTCCAAACTCGAGCAGATACTTCTTGTTAAAGCCATGTGAGGTCCATGGACCTTATAACAGTGACAGGGACCAGGACTACACCTCTGGGAAGGCTTGGCCCTGGCTCTCTGCAGTGGGGGAGCAGCAATAGCAGCTTTTTTTCTCATGGCACCCCCCATTTCACGCACTGCAGCAGGGAAGGATGGGGCTGGGTGAAGCTTTGCTCTGGCCATAGGAGGGGATGGATGCAGCTGCAGCAGTGCCTGAGACATGGATCATGGAATCATAGAATGGTTTAGGTTGGAAGGGACCTTTAAAAGGCATCTAGTCTGACCTTTTGCAATGAGCAGGGACATCTACTGGATCAGGTTGCTCAGAGCCCTGTCTAACCTGTCCTTGAATGTTTCCAGGGATGGGATCCCAGCTACTATCACTGTGTCCCTGGGCCTCTGACCAAGTTTTCTCTGGAAATCCTGTTTTTCCCTGACCCGTGGGGCTGTGGTAATTCCCAGCTTGCCCTGCCCCACAGCCCCTCCAGCAGTGATGAAGAGGTCTCTGAGCAGGCAGAGTCTCCATGATAAGAGGGAGAACCAGAAAACAAGATGTTTGCAGTACAAAAAGGGCCTCATTCTCACGGATGAAAGGGAAAGACGTGTATGCGTGTCTTAGGACTCTGCATCATCTCCCAAAGCTCTGGTTTTATGCTTCTTTATCCTTCAACTTCTTCCTTAATGAGAAATTAATTAGCCTTGCTGTTCCTGCCTGGGAACTTGTAAACATGCAGCGGTGGTGCCTGTTGCTCCCCCCACTGCCCGCCCTGTCCCATCCCACCCTCCTTCCCTGAGGTGTAGCCCAAGATATCTGACAAAAACACTCGAGAACAAAGCTGCCGGGCTAATTCAGGGAATTATCAGGAAGCCTGTAGCAGAGCTGAGATAATAGGCCTTAAATAGCAGCCTGATTGCGCTTCCTCCAGAGGCTTCACAGGGCTTTCCTCCGTGAGCAGAGAGGGGCTCCTACCCAATGGGACCTCATGGCTGAGAGCCAGCCAAGCTGGCCATGTCCTAATGGGGGTGCTGGTCTGGGGGGACAGTGCTGCTGGCTCCCTGGCTTTGTATTTGGGCAAAAAGAAACAGGCAAAACAATGGTCATCTGGGGACAGTCCTCATCACAGTGTCCTTGCTGCAATGTCCTCCTGCCATCAGAGCACCCCATTGCAACTGGGCCATTCTGCGCTTTAAGCAGTGCCTGATGGTTGGGCAAGTGCTGGGAGGGGAAGGAAGGTCAGGTCTGCAGCCCTTCACAGCGCCCACCCTCTGAAGCATTCCTGTGAGCTGCTCCAGGGCTCTGCCTCACACTGTAAGGCTTCTGCAGCCTCCCTGGACCTCTGCATCCCGATACAGACCCCAGCAGCACTCACAGCCCATCCTGTTACAGCAGAGACCTGCTAATGCCTGGGTGTCTCCGTAAGCCAGAGCTGAGCATCTCCAGAAACCAGCCAGACCCTTGAAAACAGCCCTGATAAAGGCAGGACCTGTGAAAAGGATGTGCTTCAAGGGCAGCAAGAGAGACAGTAAAAGAGGTGAAAACAAGGTGGAGAAGAGAGGGCTTGACACAGTGAATCTCATTGCCCTGTGACATGCACCAGACCTTGGGCTGTGGCACAGATCAGGGAAAAACCGTATTTGTGACAAGACCTAATATTATTTTTTTTTTCATTAAAACAGGGTTTTTCATAATGGAGAAGTTTAATTGGCAGGGAAATTGTGATCAGTTGTTGCAACCAAAGGGGCAAATCAAAAGCCTGTAGACAAGGAGTGCCCTGAGGCTGCAGGGCAGCAAAGCACTGAGCATGTATTGTGTGTAAACCTGAACATGGGTCAGCGATGAGGCATGTTCCTGTTCCCACAGTGCCAACGAGGATGCACCCGCACCATGAGCTGCCTGGTGCAGACACTGGCCCAAGGGAGGCTGCGGATTTGGTCCGTGCTAGCAAACCCAGCCTGCTCCACATGAAATCTTGATCATTCCTCACTTATAGCATGGCTGGTGCTGTGTCAAGGGACTGCTTTATAGCCTTAATGCTCAGAAGCTTTACTGCTGATGCGTATTTTCCCCAGTGCAGTTAGTTAACAACACGGGAGTTTCCTACCCCAGAGGACAGGCAGTTTCTGTAGCAAAGAGGTATGGTGGCAAGGAAAATCTTCTCATGCAAATATCAACCCTTTATCCTCTGCTGCTTGGACGGTGGGACCAAAACAACTACTGTTTTTTCTCATTTCCTCACAGAGGAAATGTACTATTCCAAATATGACTTGTAGCTACTTCAGAAATGAGTCATTACTTTGTATATAAGCTAAACACTGGAACATAATCATAAATAAACTGGCTTCATAAATTGGAAATCAAGTTTATCCCATCCTTGTTTGTAATGCACCATGATTCATATTGTTGCTTCCTCGTTTAGTTTTTATTTTAAACCAGGTTTTGAAGACTCGTAGGGCCCTTTGCACTGTTTATCCATGATGTAGTTTTGATTTGTCCTGTGATATTGCTTGAGGAACATTGTTTGCCCATATGTTTTATATTAATAGCAAATTCCACCCTGTGTGTGCCTTCTCCTTTTGCTCCGTCCTTGTGGGCCGGCGGCGGTGACAGGCATGAAGGCGCTGGGCTGGAGGTTGCTGAGCATCTGCAGTTCACCAGGTCACCTCCAGCCCCAGCAAAGGCTGTGAAAGCTCTGCCCAGAGCAGGGCTGCAGGAGCCAGAGCGAGAATCCAGAGCGCACAGATCTGTGCTCACACGTCTGACGTGCTCTTCTTGCTGAAAGCACTGGTCCCACCTATTTCTTCTCCCCAGCCCTGCTCTCCCCTGCTTCCCTGCATCAGCAGGAGTGTTTGAGCAGATAAGCTGTGAGCTGGTTTCACACACTTCATCTCATCAAATCCTTTCTGTTGTTTTTTTTCCCCCACCAGGACTATTTCCAGCTGGATCAGTTCTCCAGCTTATTCCTCACAAGGAATACTGGGACAAGGAGCTGAGACTGCAGTGCCACCACAGTGAAGCTGTCACTTGAAGGAGATGGTAAGGAATTGCCCCCAACTCTGCTGCCCAAAGCCCCATGGCTAGCTGCCCCAGGCTTCCCTCCTGCCTTGCTCTGGGCATCACCTCTAGAAATGTAAATCACATGGACAGAGGGAGAGTGACAAAGTGCCTTGTACCTCAGGCTCCCCTCCCCTCTTCCTCAGCACCAATGGAGCTAGATACTGGATTAGACCAAAAATTGCATGTCTGTCCTGTTCATGCCTGATCTGTTCAGAGATCCAGGGGCTGGCTGGATTTGGCATTTCAAGTGGGAACTGCCTGATAGGCCAAAAAGCATCATGTTTAGCACAGAGCCTACTGTGCACACAGCTGTCCCCCATCGGAGCCCCGAGGCAGTGATGACGCTGCAGGGTGAGCCCCAGCACAGCTCCAGAGGAGCCCGGCACTGACCGCATCCCTGCTGCATTGCTACTGCCGCAGGAATCAGGATATTTTGGCTCCTAATCCTCCCCCAGCCACCCCCGGCTCCTGGGTGTCTGGCCTTGGCTGCGGAGCTCTTGGTTAACAGCAGCTCTGGAAGGCTCGCTGGGTGAGGAGGTCAGCACAGGCATCTGGGGTCACTTTAGGGTTACCCTGCTCTTCATTTAAGCAAGAAAAAATAAGTCTGCCCCTCTCTTCCCCTGGGGTCTGAGGAGGCAGGGTTAGGGAAGAGGGGGCTGAGCAGACCTGCGAATGCCGGTGACTTTGTCCAGGGTGGGATGTCCCCCTCTGCTGCAGGATACACATGTTTGGGCAGAGGCCGTGTGCCACGGGAAGAGCAAGGCTGCTTTCCCACAGCCAGCAGTGCGAGGAGATTCAGTGCATCCCAGGCACGAGCTGGGGCTGCAGAGGGGGGTGCCCCTTCCACACTGGAGGCAGGACGGTGGTTACGTTCTTCTGACACAACACACATACCCTTGTTCTTGTCCTTTATTTATCTTCAGATGCCAAATTTTAGCAGCAGCAAAGGATTTTTTAGCTTGGGAGGCAGAAGGTGCCACAATTCAGCAGCCCCTTAAATCAATGTATTTGCTCCTACTTGTGCTCTTTCCCATGCCATACTCTAAACCATGAAGCACTGGATTCATCTGCTCCTTAAAGCTGAGACCAGATCTTTCCTGTGTTTTCCACTGTGGCAAGAAACCTCAGAGACCTTGGTGCATGACGATCCAAATCTCATTCTTAAGTTAAATACCTGCAGTTGCCTGATTTGGCAGAGTTCAGCTGCTAGACCTGCTCCCTGCAAACCCAGGCTGGAGCATGTAAAACAGGAACGTTAACTATTTTTCCAGCTGTCTGTAGCTCACGCACTGTAAAACACACACTAACGTTACACCTCCACACCCTGCCAAGGAGATGCCAGTGACACTGGGGTTAGTTGGGCTTCTTTTTTAACATAGCAGGAGCTTGTATCTGTGGCTTTTGGCAGGGACCGAGCTCCACCAGTGTCCTCAAGTTGCGTGGCTGTCACTTTGTCCCAAAGGTAGGACCAGGCAAGTGAAACCTTTCTCACCAGCAGCCCCATCTGGTATCTCCCTGGAGCCACAAGTCTTCAGATGGAGAAGGGAAACATCCCCAGATCTTGGACTCAGAGCCCAGTCTCCCATCTGTCAGAGCCCGCTGTCCTGGGAGCAGCACTGCAGATGTCCAAGGACCCCAGCAGCAGTCAATGCCAGCCAGGCACTGAACCCTGCTTTCAGGTGGGAAGGCACATTAGCTGCCTGGCCAGTCTGAAATCAATTTGTGTCTGTCTTTGAACCCGATTCCTCTCTAAGCCTGTTTTGGCTCTATTTGTTTAGAATAGACTTGATCCTAAAGGGAAAAGCAGACAAACCAGACTAAACATCAAATATTAAATAGCAACTGCTAATATGACAGCCATTAAACACAAGCGCTCTCCTGCCTCTGTAGCAGCTGGAAGCTGGGCTGCACACCTACCTCTGGATCCCGGTGCTACCAAAATCGAAGTCAGGCTGCACGTGTATATATCAAATTGCTGGAACGAAGGAGAAATTCACTTTCCTGCTGCCAGTCTTTCTGGCATTCAATCTTCTGTGTCTGCTTTCAGCTGAGGTAGGAGGAGATGATGTACTTTCCCCTTCTGATATGTGGGGAAGGGGAAACATGTGGCTGCCCAGCTCCCTGGCTCTGTGAAGGTGCTCAGCAGAGATTGGCAGGGAGGCTTCTCCCCCTCTCCTGCTGGAAAATTAAAGAAATCTTATTTTGTCTTGGGATGAATCCAAGAGGCTTTGAAGTCCTGGGAGGGATCTGCTGGTCAGGAAAAGCCTTCTCTCCTTCTCTCTCTCCCAGAATTTCAAAGCCATGGCACTGGGATAAACCCAAGGAGAGGGCTCCCGCACTGCCAAAGTGAAGTGGAACAGACACAGAGTGCCCTGGCTTAGGGCACCAGTTTGTCCTGCTGTGCCCAGTGTCACAGGGACCAGGGGAGAAATACCCCAAAGCAGTGTGAAAGAGCTGTACCCCTGTTTGCCTGCACATTGGTGCTGACCTTCACCTCTCATCTCAGCCATCCCTTGCGCTTCTCTACAGGTGAAGTTTCACTGAAGAAACTAGGCAAACATCAATGTCCAAGGATTGGCTTGTGCTGGGGCAGCAAAGGAATGAAAGACATCCCAACCGCACCCCTGAGCAAGATCCCCATCACGTTGTCAGCGGGCACTCGCAGTCGTGGCACAGTGTGGCCCTGGGTCCTTCTCGTTATCTACCGTGCTCCTCCTCTTTCCTTGAGCCACTTCTTTATCACATTTTGAGCATACCTTCCACTTGACTTAACACTAACATATGTACAGTCGACATTTCAGTAATGCCTTACAAATTAGCTAGGGCTGGTTCAGAGATTATCAGGCCGGTTCCAGGCTCTTCCCCTTGTCCCTGGCCCCCACCTCTCCACACCGGGCATGCTGAAGCAGGGGGCTCATCCCGGGAAGGGAGCTGGGGCCCCCTCCTGGTGCACTGGCCAGCTCCTGGGAAGCATCCTTTCCTCCTTTTTCTTCCCTCTGTCTCTAGCTGAAAGACTCTTTCTGGGTGTCAGAGTGAGGCAATGCCTCTGCTCACTCTACACAGCAGCCCAATGGGGCTCCATGGGGGAACCAGCACCCCAGGGCCACTGCAGAGGCGAGAGGGGTTTCCCATGTCCTTTATCCCAACAGATGAAGCAGCTCAACTCTAGAAAGCGGCACTTACTGGCATGAGAAGAAGGCAGCACCCAATGATGGGTGACCTGTGCTGGGCAGGAGGAGAAGAAAACCCCCGATACCTGACAGACCCCAGCACAGCCCGGGCTCCAGCAGCGTGTCTGCAGCTTACAGAGACAGGAGGCAGATGGACGATGTACTTGTCCAAGTGCTTTCCTGAGAAAACCTTTAGCAGTTCACATGCTGGGTTGCTGGTTCTACTTCCTCTGTCCCAGCAGTGCAGCCTTCTGGTCGGAGAGGTTTAAAGTCCTCCTGGAGGCGTTCCCATCGTCCAGCGATTTCCCCAGACACATGTTATTACAGATTGCTTTGTTCTGAGCTTTTACATTTCCTGCAGCCCTCTTGAGCTCCTGCGCTTAGTTCTAAGTTCACTCACTCAGTACTTGCAGTGCCGGAGCCTTGTTTCTGTGTCAGCCCTGGGAAGCGCTCTGCAGGAGTGTTTCTATGCAAGAGGCTGTGGAAAAAATGAGGATATGTTTTATGATGTTCCAGCACAGAGGGGCCCTGCACAGTTCATCCAGTTATTATGGCTGGAAGGAACCTTTACCAGCTCACCTGCTCCATTTTATCCTTCGCATCAGGCCGGTAAACCATCCTTGTCAGATATGTACTTAGCCTTATCCTTGAATATCTCTGGGGGAAGCAATTCAAGGATCTCCCAGAGAAGCTTGTTCCACTGTCTGAACTCTAGTTAAAGTTATAAAGGTTTCCCTAATGTTTGACTTTAATTTTCTCTACTGCAACATAACACCATTATTACTAGTTTGAGCTCCTTGATGGCTCTTTTTCCCTTAAGCCCCCATTTAGGAGAGACAGGGAAGGAGCTAGATGAACTGACTTACAGCTAGGTTACAACACAGTTTCAGCCAATTCCATTTAATACCAGTTAAGGTAGGCAGAGTTTATGGGATCATATCAGGCTTTAAACGGTCTTAGGCAATGCTCAAATGTCCTCTGTGAAACCAGCTGGCTTGTGGAGCCAGTGCTGTGGCTGCCTCTTCCACCTGCATCTGGGGGGGCAAGGAAGAACATGACCCACTGGGGGGGGGCCATGCATGGGGTCCCTCCCTCCTTTCTCCCTGCACCATTCATAGCACCCCTACCTGCAGGCATCCACCTTCAGGCACCCAGAGACTGGAGTGGATGGGATGTATAAGGCACAATTGTCCTCACCCTGCATGGGGAACAGGGGACTTGCTAGATCCCAGCTCACCCCCTCAACCCCATCTTTTCCCCCTCTCCTCAGGGTTGCAGAGGAGCAATGGAGGCAGTGGGGCAGGTGGAAGGGCTGCAGCTCCCCTGGGAGAGCATCGCATGTGTGAGACGAGCTGTGAGAGTGTCTGGGCAATAAGCATCAGTGCACGAACCAGAGAGAGGAGACTGGAATGTAAAAAGGAAACGAGTACATGGAAATTCAGAACTCTCCCCAGACGAAAAACAGAGGGGAGAGGGTTTTTTTGGCAACTGAAGTTGTAAAAAAAGGTTCTGATTTTCTTCCTTGTTTCAAACTTCGCAAATTGCACCAAGCTCTAGTCACAGAGCTGCATCCTACATCCTCTACTGAACCCCGAATGGGTCAGCCTGGAAGAAGCCATGACCCTTCCATCATCATTGGCAGGACCAGTGGGATCTGCCCCTCTGGCCAAGATGTTCTGTTGGGGTCCATGTGTCTTGCTGAAGGAAAAGCCTTACATCCCTTGGGGAGCAGATGGGTTGCTCATGTGTGTGTCACTCATCTGCCCAGTTGCCTTTTCTTATTGCTCCCCTGCCCTCATGCTGGTAATTTCTGTACCCTCCTTTTACTTTCAGGGTTGTGAAAAAGGGGAGACTGAGATGAGCTCTTAGGCAGAAGCTCTTCCCTGTGAGGGTGCTGAGGCGCTGGCACAGGGTGCCCAGAGAAGCTGTGGCTGCCCCTTCCCTGGCAGTGTTCAAGGCCAGGTTGGACACAGGGGCTTGGAGCAAGCTGCTCCAGTGGAAGGGGTCCCTGCCTGTGGAAAGGGGGTGGAAATGGGTGAGCTTTAAGGTCTCTTCCAACCCAACATTCTGTGATATGATAGCGAGTGGGTGACTTCCCCCTTCCCCAGCTCCCCAGTTCAGAATGTCACAGCTTCACCCTGTCTGCTGAGCCATGAGTGTACCCTGCCACAGGGCCACCAGGAGCTGGGGGAGCTGCAAGACCTCACTGGGTCTCTGTAGCTGGCTGAGATGACTCCAAGCCTGCAGCTCAGAGCAGCAGGTTGATTTCTGATGCAAGCTGAGAGATAACAGCCATAGGCAGCATCACCAGGAGCAGCAGGAGGAGTCAGTCCTTGCTGGGACGGGTGGATGGGATCTTCTGCCAGGGCTGTGCATGGGAGGTAAGACACAGCTTGTTTCTCCCATTCAGCAAGTCTATGCTTTGGGGTTTTCCTCACCCACGAATTGTCTTCGGAGTGTGATTTTAATTAATTATTCAACAATATTTTTTCCCCTTACTGAGTGATTGTAACGAGTAACTTCTATCCATTCAGGGCCCATTTGTAAACAATTTACCTCAAGAATTTGGCAGCCGAAGTTCAAGCAGCTTTCCTGGGCGAGTAAGTGACGCTGCGTGTTTCTGTGTCACATCCGGATGAGCGCGACTTGTTGAGTGAGGTTAGCAGCGCATGCATGTGTGCTTATCGACTTGAAATGTGCTTCCTATGGATATTCTGTAATATTTACTTAAATCTAGCTGTTTCTGTTAAGGCTCCTGGCAGCAAGAACTATTACCCAAATTTTCATAGCTAACAAAGGCAAAACAGGACACAGGGCAGGGTCTGAACTGACTGTTTGAGGACTCGAGTACATGCAGTATTTGTTTTGTGGTATTTAGCTAATTCAGTTTACAATGTGGGACATTTTATTTATTTATTTTTAAAGCATGTCCCCCCCCTCCCACCTTGTAAAGCTTGTGGTTCTATCCAGGATTCAAGTTACAAACTTTTGCTGTTTTGCTTCAGCCATGATTTTTTCATAAAAGTGTGGTTAGACTATTTTTACTTTAGAAAAAGAGTTGGTTTTCTCCCTTTTTTTTGCTGATAAATTGCAAATGGATGAAGGAAATTTGCTCAGACTTTTCCCACAAACATTCTCCTTTGGGCAGAGATTAAACATGGGGAGTTTCAGTCTAAAATGCAAATGCTTTGGACATTTATGAGAGTGGGAAAACAGGGGCCCATTATGAGAACTGCTTTGTGACTTTATTGGGGTGCTACTGGGGGCCAGCACTGCCCTGGGAGGATCAGAGCAGCATGCCTGGCCTCAGTAGCCAGCCTTCATCCTTATCCTACGATCAGGCTTGTGGGAGAGATGGGGAGCACCATGTCCTGGAGGTGGAGACCTGGTTTGCACATCAAGATCTGCTCCTGTGGGTTGTTTAACATTTGCTGGGTGCAAATCCCAGCTGATGGTGGAGCTGTGGGAAGCTGGAAGCCTCTCCGGCCCCATGGGGGAAGTGGAGTGAGTGTCTGGGGGGACGCTGGTCACTGGTCAGCAGGATGGATACAGCTGCAATTTGGGCATCATGTATGGGTTGCTTTAGGAAGATGGACACAGTTCACAGCTCCTTGCTTGCGTGGTGCTTAAGTGAGAAGGTAAACGTGACTCTTAAAGCTCCCAGTTTGGGTGAAGGTGAAATAAGACATCTTGGTTTTCTCCCATGATACTCCCCCTTGCTCCTGTGTGTGGACGTGGGGAGCAGCAGCTGTTGCTGCTTGGGAGCCCTTGCAGGGGCCACATGGAAGAGCATAGGGTGGTTGCAAGTGCCTTTGCAGAGCCCTGGGAGGCTGCTGATGGGTTTAGGAAGGAGTAGGAGGGGGCTTGTGATGAGAGCTCCTCCGGGGAAATCCCCGCAGCGTCTGACAGCAGATTGGCACTGTGAAAAATTTACATCTCCTGCTGAGAACTCAATTTCCATAGGAGATAATCAGATGTGACCCGTGTAACACAGTGATGTTTTTACAGGATGTTTTTGCTTCCTTTTTTTTCCTGTTTGCTCCTCTCTCTCTCAATTTCCATTTGGCGTCTTCGGCAGTTCCCGATGGCTGTATTTTGACAAGGATTCTCAAACCACTTGTAAACACTTCAGAGTGAGGACAAGGTGGGAACCACAGCGTCTACCTCCAGTTATTAACATGACTTCAGGATGAAGTAGGTTGACCCCAGAGCCTGGCTGCCTGGTCCTGTGAGGCTGGATCCATTTACTGCCATCCTGGAGGTTATCAGAGGGAGGTGTGTGGGAGAGGGAAGAAGGGGAAAGCGGGAGGAAGGATGTAACAGGGCAGAAATGGTGCAGGCATTGGGGGAAAAGTGTGGGAGTGAAGAGTATTGGAAGGCAACACCAGCAAAGCTGTGAGGGCAATCCTCTTCTTCCACCCACAGACTCTCTTAAGCCCTTGCCTGTCAATCAGCCCCTTATTTACATGAATACTAAATCCACTTGCAGCTTCTTTAAATAAAACAAGAACACGCACCTTCCTGTAGTGAAACATATTATAGCAGTTTGTCACAGCATCATCCAGTAGGTATTAATTCCCAAATCATTCTATGACATGTTTTATCATAAGTTATTAAAGAAGGTAGCTGCATTGGGCAATCATTTGATAAACTGAGCCATAATTTAACATGCTCCTCCATCATATTAGTGAGGAACAAGATTTATTTTCCCAGTGCAACTTTAATTATGGATAGCACATGCAGGCGATTGAGCTTACTGAATCTTTAAGGTTAATGATGTCTCCTGCAGAGCACCTTGGGGTAAGGCACGGGATCTTCCCCAAGCTCCTGACTCACCTGTGGTTGGCATATCTGGCGCCAGGTAACAATATGACCTTGAATTTTGGGCTTTAAAAAGGTGGTTGTGTTTTTCTAGTGAGATTTAGGGCATTCATAATGCACTGCCAAGGTTGGCCAGATGCCTGGCTGCGGTCCCCTCGGGGAAGCAGAGTGCTTCTGCCTCCCCTGATGCCTCACAAGCAGCAGGAGGGACTTTCCCAACTGAGCAAGAGCGTGTCCCTAAACCCATGCTTAGCTGAATAGCCAGAAGTTGCCTCACAATGGTTCCCATGGATTCTGGTCACTTTGTGGCCCATCAGACCGAGCAAACTGTGACTATCTGTGCTCTGCAAAGGCCACAGAAGTGTGTTTTCAGACAAGGATTGCTCATCACACAGTGCTGGCTGCTACAGGGAGCGACAGCAACCTGGTTCCAGACCTGCTTCTCCTGAGACTGGACTCCTTCCCCGAGCCTTAGCTCTTAGCAGTTCCTTTTAGCACTTCCACTGCAGCTGCAAATTCTCCAAGACCACTGTGAACCAGAGGGACCACCACTGCTTCCTCAAGACCCTGCTCTTCAGCCTCGGGTCGCTGTTAGAGGACTTGGGAATCACAAGGATATAGGCAAAGGAGTGTGGGTATCTGCTTCTGCAGCCTGTGCTCCCTTGGCCAGAGCTGGCTGTGAACCCGGCCTGCTGGGTTGCTGAAACAGAGCTCAGGGAGGTAGAAAAGCCCCAAGGGAATGACCCAGAGGCTTCCAAAGAAGCTGAATATCTCCTCCCATTTTGAGGAGTAAATGACCCTCCTGGCGAATATCACTATTAGACTGAAATCCTCACATTCCCCTGTTTGCTGCTGCTTTCTTGATCTTTTTCATAGCCCTATTTTTGGCTCTGGAAATTGTCTTTTAATTGCTGTGCCTTTGTTTTCATGTCTCTCGGCCCCAGCTTTTTCATTGGTCTCCCAGCTCTGGACATGGAGGATGCAAGGAGAGGAGCACAGAGGGTTCCCTGGCTGCTGTGGTGCTGGTGTGGGGCCATGCATTTCCCTGCCACCTCAGCAGGGAAAGATCCAGATGCAAAATACTGTCCCTGAGGAAGGGCTAGTGTTTGGGGGTGCCAAAGACGCAGTACAGCAAGAGGTCAGGTTGCTCATAAGGATCATTGCAAGCGGCAGAGAGAAACCAGCCCAAAGCATCCCGCTGCTTCCTCCCTGCTGCCACTATGCCAGGCTTCCATGTTCATAATCAGAAATACAGAAAAAAAAATACTAATCCCTTATTAAACTAAATTACTAAGCAGTTTGGGACAGGGAGGGAATGCAGGAGGGAGGAGATGCTTGAACACATCAGGCTGATGTAATTTCTTTTAGTCAGGAGCAGGAGAAACACAATCCAGTTCTCTTCCCCCCAGCAGAACAAAGGGGAAAGTCCCTACGGGGAGATTAGGAAAAGTGAAACAAAATAAAATCCAACCAAAAAACAACCACAAACGAGACAGGAGAGGAACAAAAAAAAATAAAGAAGGAAGAGAAGAAAAAAGGAAAGACAAAACCATCATCCCCCTCAAGTGTCCCCTCTGTTGTGTATAACAGCTTCTCGCTTCCCCCACTTCCCCAGCACCAGTCAGGCTTACAGAGCCATAAAATAAGAGTTTGTGGTGTGTTCAATCGATTACTTCTCCTAATGCACTGTTTTTGGAGACAGGTAATTTATTTCAGACTCTACATGTCTACATGCAAAAAAATCACAAAGAAAAAAATCCGCTTCTTTCTCTTTCTTCACTTTTTGGTTTACAGCCCT